CACAGAATTAAACCAAACAACATGAATCAAACATGCACTTTATTTATTTCCACTAAATAACAAAAGTACATCAAAATGATTGAAGCTAAGTGCATTCAAAACTGTCTAACAGAATGGGCATTGATCTTTATAAGAAAAGTACTTGTGTAAGTATTAGCTGACAGGGAGAGAGATATTCTACTAATCTGCTATTGATTTTCTCTTCTCTTCTCATCTTTTCTGCACACCATATCAGCATTGTAGTCCAGAATTAGAAAAAGGTCTTACAGCCTCTTGAAGAAGATCATAACTAAAGGGGGCTTAGATATGTTATATTTTTATCACCATCTGACCTTTTCCAATAAAAGAAAACTGTTAGAGTCGACAGCTCAGGGGTATTCAAGTCTTTTTACATTGGTTTATTTAGAGGTACTTCGTCTATTTTGTTTTAGTTGAGTGTCCCATACATAGTCTTCGTACTTAGGGATTACAAACTTATAATTACAGTACTGGTTGGCTGAGAGAGGTAAGTGAATTCTCTCTAGCTGTGGCCATTCTTTTCTATCTCTTCTTTCTTTCCTTCTCTTGCTCTCTTCTTCTCCCCTTCTTCTTTCTCTTTTTTCTTTCATTTTTGAGGAGAAATCAGATCTGGTTGAACTGATAACATGGTATTAGAGCACTGATAACCTGCTCTATTTTTCTTCTCTTTTATTGCCTTCCAGCATTCTGTTTTTTGGAGATTTCTTAGTGATCACTTGGAGGATCAAGGAGAGGCCACAAAGGAGTGATCGTTTCTTTGTTAAGGAGGTATTCATGCCTCTAGTGGCTGTTGTAGTTTCTGTTTCAATGGAGTTTTAGAAAAACCTTATAATTGATGCATTGAAGAGGGACTGTTGGTGATCAGATTGTTTTTGCATCCATTTGTGTATGTTGTTTTGTTGATCTGATTGTATAAAGTTGTAGGTCCTAGGCCTATTGTGGACTCTTGTTCAGCAGGTATGCATGAGCAGTGAGTTCTTGTGTGTTTCTTGTTGAATGTGGGTGACAGGTTTGAGGTTAGTTACTGAAACCTGTTACAATCAACGTTTCTGGCTTTCTGCTGTAGTTGATTATTCAGTGGGCCACACTGAATATCAACAACAGTTGAACGGTCTTCTCCAACGTTATACAATGATTTTCCGAGAACCATCGGATTTGCCACCATCTTGGGAGCATGGTCACGGGATCCCTCATATGCCGGTTGCACTGCCAACAAATGTAAGACCTTATCGTTACCGTTATCTATAAATCCTTCAGGTTCTCAGGAAGGAAAGAATTTGGTTTGTGATTGTCTAAAGGTTTGAGGCTAAGGCTGTGTTTAGTTGCAGTGCAAATATAAGCTGGATACAAAATTTGCACCCACCACCCTCTGTGTTGTAGGAGCATAATGTTGGGCAGTGAAGAAACAACATCCTAAAAATGAGTGGCAGAAATGCAAATGCTGAGGTGGATGAGTGCAAAAACTAGAAAGGATAGAGTCAGAAATGATGTCATTCGAGGGAACCTAGGAGTAGCTCTGGTAGGTGATAAAATGAGAGAAAGTAGATTGAGATGGTTTGATCATTATGCATAGAAGACCACCAACAGCACCCATAATAAGTGATCTGTAACATCTGTTGCAAGTTGAAGGGAATAGAAAGTCTAGGACTAGGAGTAGGCCAAAAAGGACATGGGTTGAAGACTTGAAATAGTTAGAAATGATTTAAATGCCCATAATTTAACAATGGATATGGCATTATACAGAATGGATTGGGAAAACCGGAAAATAGGATTCATGTTGCCTACCCTATATAGTTGGGATAAGGCTTTGATGATGATATGATGACACAAATTTTGCACCTGGTTGAGTTTTACATCTGTTTATTTGTAAATATGATTTTGTACTCCTACTCGAAAGTTTTTACCTTTTAATTCATTTGCACTGTGAATTTTTCATCTCAAAAATTGATTCAAATTTTGTACCACCTTCCTTACATCAATTCTCTCTCATAAAAAGTGGGACCAAATCATCTTTCTTCTTACTTTACTTCCAATGGCATATAAGGTGGGACCAATCCATTTTACTTCCTATTGTACTTTTCACAAACAATCGAGACTAGGTCAAATTTGAAGTAAAAGTAATCCTGAATTTACATTTAGCCTATTTTCACTCCCATGCATTTAGATGGGGTTCACTTGCACTGCAACCAAACACAACCTAAGGTGAAAAATGAGCTTCGCATACAATCTTTTCTCAACCAAGCCCTAGTATTTTACTTTTCTATTGCCTTCACTATTACTGCTGCTTCCCAATATTGTCTCAATTCCTCTTCTGAGATGACTGGCAAGTTAACAATTGCTTGAAGCGTCAAACCATTCATCTCTTTCTTAATCTCTCATTCCCTGCTAGCACTTGTTTAAACCTTCCTTAGGAAACCAAGACCTTTCTTGTCAATAAACCACAGAAGAGTCTCTGCCATTTTCGTCCACCCCCAAGACTATCTTCCTTCTTGAATACAAATCCATTGCTTTTTGTTGCTGTGGAAGTTTTCTAGTAATCTGATTCTGATAACCCCCCCCTTCCATCTTTAATTGCCACAAACCTCTGACTATTATTTTCAACATAGTTTCTCCATCTGATTTCTCCTTCAGCATACTTATCCCCATCTGAAAAACCTAAGCCAAACTACCATTTCTTTGACCAAAACTTTATCTCCTCTAATCTTCAGCCTTACTCCATCCTCGCTTGATACATCTTCTAAGAAAAAACTTCTTTGCCTCAATAGCAATCTGTCTTCTCCAGAAATCCATCTCGCTTTGCCTCATTCTTATGTGCAACAAAAGTATAAACTAGGAGAATTCTAAAGTATAGACATAGAGATAGGTAGGGGAATCAGAGATGTACCTAAGGAACCAACATCATCATTAAACTGCTGATAGATAATTTGATGTGACCTCTTCCATTACTTTGGTTAAATATTCCAAAACAAGGGAGAGATTGAAGAGGATATTGCCCATAGATTTAGAGCAGGATGGGAAAAAATGGGAGAAGGGGGTTGTAATCAACCCAGAAAAGATCTCAAAAAGGAAGGGGAGACCAAACAGAACTCTTTGTCCAACTGCTGCCCAACTTTTACTAAAATTATAATGCTGTATACAATTACAAAAATACCCCTGTTTAATATAAAAGAAGGAAAATGACACATGTACCCTTCTGTTGTGTAAAAGAGTATATATGCAAAACTGCTAATAACTTCTAACAGGGGTAAGCCTTATGTGATCGGTGAATACTGCTTAGGCTGTAAGGCTAGCAATGTTGTATAGAGCAGTGTTTGGCAGTCAAGAAACAACATCATTAAAAAATGAGTGTAGCAGAAATGTGAATGCTTCGATGGATGAATGGAAAAACTGTGAAGGACAGGGTTAGAAGTAATCTGATTTGAAGGAACGACTCCAATAGGTAGGGGCAGAGCAAAAAGGAAATGGGTTGGGGTAGTAAGAAATGATTTAATGGCTCATAATTTAACAATGGATATGACACTGAACAGAACAGATTGGCGTAACATGATTCATATAGCTGGCCCCATAAGGATGATGATGATGGCTCTTCTTCTCCTGATAGCTTGCCAGCAAGAGTTAACAAGTGCCTATAATCAGTCCTGGAGACATGCTGAGGGGCAATGCTTCTTGAAACACCAACAGTAGCACAAAATAAACCACAAATTAGATCTGAAAATAATCAAAAGTCTTCTACACACATACGGATCTCATCCAACTCTAAAAAGGGCACCAAATCCCTTATAATAGAGCTGGACACCTAATATGGAATAGAAAAATCCTCATTTCAACCCTATTTCTGCTTTGATCAGAGTGTAATCTGGTTTGATAGTGTAAGGAAGAAGAAATATCAATCCAAGCAATCTGGCTGACCAAAAACTCCTATATATGTTTTATTTTTTCTTGATTTCCTTAGAAAAGCACTTGAAATATCATATGCACTTAAAATCTGTGTAAAACTTACACTCAAATAATTTATCAAAAAAAAAGCTTACACTCAAATGTCTAAATTCATTCTCGACCAGAATTTAGGGTCTCCATTTATTGAAAGTGGGGATATGACCCTCCATTTCCTAAAATCCTGGACATGGATATTGGTATGAGCATCCCACAAAATATTCTTATTCCATTTGTTGCTAATTTTAATTAAATTTATATTGTATGCAGGTATTTTTATAGTATAATTTTTTAAAACATACCGCTCTACATATTTTATGTGTTAATGCTATATATCTAGAAGTATCCATATCCAGTGTCAGTACTGATATGCTAGGCATGTATAGGAATCTGGGTATCTTAGTATGAAACATTGTTCATGTGCTTATTGACTAATAGTTTTACATGCATGTTTATGTCTGTTTATTTATACTTCTGTATCATTTTCTATATTTATCTCTTTTCTCCTTTGCTTTGTTACTCCCATGAGGCCTACATTCCTGCTGATGTATATGGACTTGACTGAAATGATATTTTTGATAATTTTGCATTTTCTTAAGTATATTAGAAGCATATCGAACTGGACGTGGACGCATAATAGTCCGAGGAAAGGTTGATGTTGAGTTACTTGATGCTAAAACAAAGCGTAGTGCAATTCTTATTAAAGAGGTAAGCCTTCTCCTTTTTATTTTTGCAATCTTACTTTTGTTATGGAATGATGTTTTGTAAGTATTCTGGTCTGATGGTTTATGATTGATACAGATCCCATATCAGACCAATAAGTCTTCACTTGTTGAGAAAATTGCTGAACTTGTGGAAAATAAAGTAAGCCTTTTTGGTAGATACTTCTATTCTTCTATTATATCTGTATTATTTATTATTTGTATCACTTCATTACTTTAGTTTTGGTAGCCTTTGGTTTCTTTTTTAGGATTCATGTACTCAGGCAGAGTTTTAGTTTGTATTTGATGTTTGATATGACGACTTGTTGACATTGACTTGTACGATCTTTGCCTTTTGTCCTGTTTTATTCCATCCTTTTATATTCTTTATATCAATGTATAATAAAGTTATTCATGCGAATCTATAGGTACATTTGGAGAAGGATGCCATGTAATTGTAAATTGTGTTGATCTTTGTGGTTTCCAGTCATCCTAGTCTCTGCACCTCCCTTGCCTTGGTTAGAGTTGCATTCTATACTCCTAGTATTTCCCCTATTTAATTGTTTTAGCATCAAACTGTACATCAATGCTCTTGTGGCAATTGATAGACACCATTAAAGCTTTAGGGGGATAATTAGTGGTTGTTAGACAGCCCCTGAACTGCTGCTGCCCTTGGTACACTTTCAGCTTGTAAATTATTAAAAGGACACATCTTAAGGGATGAGGCAGTCAATTGTTTCTTATCAAAGAGGTAATTAGTGTTGCTAGTTTGATGATCAGATGACCTCAAATTTCATGGGCATTCAGTAGGTAACTAGGATTTTTAGGGATTAGCAACTCATTTAAGAGAATAATGAGAGAGAGTATTGGCTTCTCCCATCTCTTCTTATTCTTCATTTCTCTTCTCTCCGAGAAACCTTTTCTTTCTTTCCTTTTATTTCTGTTACAAATCAGATTACCCATTTTGACATTTCTACTCAACCCTCCTACGTTGTTGTTAGAGAAAAAGTGGAGTAGCACGTAGTGGAGCAGGCAAGGGAGTAGAATCCGAAGTTGGTAGTGGAGAAGATGGAGTAGGAACTTAAAGAGGAAGAAAACAGTCATCCCTAAAACACTCCTCTTGAGGAATTGTACTAGAGAAGAAAGGAGTGTACTAAAAAAATGTAACATCCATGGTAATATACTAACTCCCGAACACTGGATTATAACAACAATATCCTTTTTGGTTTTGGGCATAATATCCAAGAAAAAAAACATTTCTTGGATTTAGAATTTAGTTTAATACAATAAGGGTCAAGTATGTAAACAAAGCAAGTACAACCAAAAACTCTTAAAGGAATATAAATGAACTCCCTCTTAGGAAAGAGATGATATGGTGTCTTAAACTCCAGAATGTGTGAAGGCATATGGATGTTTAAGAAAATAGCACTATGCATAGCATCACCTCAAAACCGAACTAGAAGAAATGTATATATTATTTATTATACTCCTTGCCACTTCAAGTATTTGCCGGTTCTTCCTTTTTGCTACACCATTTTGTTGAGGAGTGTAACCACCACTGTTTTGGTGTACAATGTTAAACAGTGTATGCCCTTAGCTCCAATCAAATTGATGTACTGATGCATTTATTGTAAATGAATAAAAGTACATACTTGATTCATGTTATAATTTGTGTGTTTCTGTGCAATTACCCTTAAATTGGACACTTATGAGACTCGTGTTAGTTTAGAATGTTTTCAACCGTTGGATAGACTTGGGGAAGTTTATCTTGCCAATGTTGACATTGATGTGCTTCCAAGAAGGTTGGGGCAGCCTGTCTTAGCTGCCAGGGTTATACCCGAAGTACATGCAATGTGTGTTTGTTTGAAACACTGAACCCGGACCAATTTCTAGTTATGCCCTGGACCTTGCAGATTGGTGGGCAAAATTGGAAAGTTGCACATAACCCCTAGATTCGATTATGGTACTGCACTAGGTGTCGGATTGGGTTGTCTTGATATGCCAATTACTGAGATCCTTTGGGGGCCAAAACTCGGGTATGTTGGGGCAGTCTGAGAATTCATTCAAGTGGGTGATCATAGTGACAGGATCAACCCCTTTGTTGGACAAAGTGAATGATCGGGACTGCACTCTCTCTGATGGAAACTAAAATTGCCGGTAGTTGATTTCAAACTTGTTTGAGATTTGTTTTGCAAAATATATTTTAATGATAATATATATATATATATATTATGTTTTGATAAAAAAGGTTTGCAAAAGGGTTTTAATTACCGGGACCCATCCGAGCAGAGAATGCAACACTGCACCTTGCAACCAAGGGAGAGGTCTTTCCTTGTTGGGCAGTGGTTGATCATTAAGGGCTGAGAGGTTATGTGTAAGAGACCATTTAGGGCTGTTTTACCTGATGGACTATATCTCACTTAAGTCCACTGTCCTTGGGCCTTCATAGGATGGTTGAACTAAAGGATCATTTAATGTAAAATGTTGGGCCCATTAAGAGCCCATACTGGACTCGGGGTTTACTGTACTTGGCTGTGAATCCGGCCAGGCTTTTTCTCAGAAGCAGGGCTGAACCCATATGTGCTTAAGTGAAGTCATTGTTGGGGTCCCACCCCATACAAAGAAAACCAAATGGGCCAGCAACTATCTAGGGTTGTGAGCCACTTACTTAATATGCCTAAAGCCCATGATAAATTAGATTAATCAAGTGGTCACATGACAGACATGGGTGAATATAGGTTTGGATCGACAATTAGGATAAGAGGATAAGTCTTATCCACTTAAAGAGTCCAGATCCAAATAAAGATTTGGATTAGGACCCTCCTAATTCGATTAGGAGTGTTGGTTCTTAAGGCCTATAAAAGGAGGAGGGCGAAGTGCTTCAGAAAACAAATATGCTCTCAGTTCTCTCCTTCTGCTCTTGCTGCCCAAAACCCTAGTTCGTTCTCCATCTTGTGATTGATCTTGATCAGTCTTGGTTTTTGATTTTTGTAAGAAAAATCAGATTTAATTCGTGCTCACCTCCCTTGCTCGATCCAAGCTGTTGGATTACAATTCTTGCTGAAGGATTGTGTTGCTAAATCGACTTCAACCTAAGTTGTGCCATTTTCAGTGGAAGTTGGTTTTGGTTCCCTCTTTGGGCGTGAACTACCACTTTGGGAGCTACACTTGTGGATTCCGTATCAGGTATACTTGTCCCTTCCTTTTGGTTTTAGATACAGTTCGGTTCAGTGCCAGAACGATCATTGAAAAATTCAGTTTTTCTTAAACTGGGAATACAATTCTTGGAAGGGTAATAGAAAATTTTTTGAAATTTCGCCTAGCCATCTAGCATGGTTTGGCCATCAATATGATGGATTTCCCCTTCCTTCATACAATTCCATGCTCTAACAAACATGTTGCTAAGTCCTTCACGAAATATTCTTTTGCATTATCTGATTTGAAATGTTTAGTTCTCACTTCAAAACAGTGTGAGAGCCATACAATGAAGCTTTCTCACTGAAGCAGACACTTCATCACAAGAACACATCAAATAAATCCAAGAAAAGTGTGTATGCTCATCTACAAATAAAAGGAACAAGTTATAACCACTCATAGAGGGAACAAAGTAGGACCCCTAAATATCAATATGCAGAATGTCAAAAGCAGTTACACTTCTTTCTTACTTGAAGCAAAGGAATGCATACAATGTTTAGCAAGTTGACAACTTTCACACTTATTTACAGATACCTTAATAGACTCAAACAAGTTTGGAAGCAAAAAACTAAGAGAATCAAAGGACAAATGCCCTAGCTGATTTTGCCACGGCATAATTTGACTCACAGATCTAACTCATCACTAATACCATTTACATGGTGACTGATAACTAGGAAGCACATCTAGAAGGTAGATTCCATTCACCTCACAACCACTCCCCAATACTCCTTGACTCCAGATCCTAAAAACATAACGATCAAGAAGAAAGTCATAGAACAATTTGAAGTTTTTGTCAAGTTTCTCATAGACAAAAGATTATTATGTAGTTTGGGAACATGTAAGATTGAATGTAAAGTAGTGGTATTGATAGGCTCTTTAGAGAGGGGACATATACTGAAAGAGGTTTGTCTCCCTGTTTAATCATTTGATTCCTCAATTGATAGGCTCTAGTTACATTTTGTTTTTGAGAATAGGCCTCTGCAGTGCCATTTCAAATCTCTTTTGTAGTATTTGCCCCGTAGGAAATTTTTCCTTATATGGAGAAGCATAGAATTACACAGCTATGTCATAACCATGTAATTTTGTTGCACCCAATAAGCACAAGAGGGGTCACTAACTTCTTGTTTTTCTCTCACTAGTAATATATCCCAATTTACCTCATGCACTAGTAGCCATGTTAACATAGTTTGAACAAGAGAGAAATTGAAATTGAAATGAAAGGGTGTGTTCAATTTGTCACACACCTAAGAGAGATACTTTATATATGTTTTCTGTACATAATTGAGAAAGGACTATATTGTCCCTCTCTTACAAGAAAGAATAAAAAGTATATATTGTGTACACGATACAACATAAAATGGTGCTCCTAAAAGCCAAAAAATGGAAAGAAAGTATTTAAGATTGAATTCAGTCTCTACACCTCCCTCAAATTGATGTCGAGGAACAAGCATCAATTTGTCAACTAGAAACTGGTGACAAGCACATGTCATAGCTTTTGTGAAGAGATCAACAAGTTGTAATGCAGAAGATACGTGGGGCAAGGAGATATGTCCAGTAGAAAGTTGACCTCTGATAAAGTGGTGATCAGCTTTTATATGCTTGGTTCTTTCATGAAATATAGGGTTGGAGGCAATCTTGATGTTATTGACATTGTTTGCATGAATGGGAATTGGAGAGGCCAAATGGAAAACCAAGTTCATCAAGGAGGGCCCTGAGCCATATAATCTCAGTGCATATAGAGGACACAATTTTGCACTCAGCTTCGGTAGAGGATTTGGACATAGTTTCCTGCTTCTTACATTTCCAAGATATGAGGGAGTCTCCAAGGAAGACACATTAACCATTAGTAAACATCTAGTGTTTGGGCATCCTGCCTAATCAGCATCTACACGGGTGAATATGCTAAAAGATGTAGATGCATGAAAGAATTAAGCTAAATGACAGAGTTCCACAAGCATATCTGATAATACGGAGAACTACAGTAATGTGAGGTTGTCGAGGAGAGGAAGGCAAATTGATTAACCACTTGTATGACATAGGAAATATCTGGATGCATCATGGTTAGATAGATAAGGTTACCAAAGCTGTTAATAAAGAGTGGCATTAGCAAGAATTTCCCCATCATCCTTGGAGAGCTTTAGATTCATCTCAAGAGGAGTGTCAACATATTTGTCATCACTCAGGTTAGTAGATTTCATAAGGTCGAGCGGATATTTGTGTTGATTAACGAAATACCCATGAGTTGAATGGGCGACTTCCAATCCCAAGAAATAGGTAAGATGAAGATCCTTCATCTTAAAGGACTGACTGAGAAGCTGTTTCAAGGWGGAAATACCATCATTGTCATAGTCGGTACCTGGTTATAAGGTTGGCATCCACGTATAGAAGCAACAAAGTAATTCCTTGGGATCTTTTCAAAATATACAAGGAGTAACCAAAAGAACTTTAAATAAGTTTACAATCTATGATGAAAGTTCCCAATTTCTCAAACCATGCTATAGGAGCTTGTTTGAGACCGTACACGGACTTATTGTGGCGACATACCATGTGAGAACCAGCATAGTTTCCTAGAGGGGGCTTCATATATGATGTCTTCTTAAGGTGGTCCCCATGTAAAAAGGCATTCTTGACATCTATTTCATGGATGCCCCAATGTCTATATGTAGAGAGAGCCAAAAGTAGACTAACTGTCGTCATCTTTGCTACGGGGGAAATTGTCTCCTTGTAATCTATATCGTATTCCTATTTGTACCCCTGTACCACCAATTGGGCCTAAATGAGTGTTACAGTTCTGTTAATTGTTTTGTCTTAGTTTTATGTTTTTTAAGTTGTCTCATGCGTGGTCACATGATCCCCTTTAGTGACTGCCACCCTAAGAGGGCTATTGGTGTAATTTTTCTTCTCTAATTATTTCTGAAATAAAAGTAAGTGGGGAACCCAATAGAATCCACGATCTACTTTTCCTAAATTCCTTCTCTTCCTTTCTTCTCTTACTGTTCTCTGTTACAGACCTGCTATGAACCTGTTACAGCATTAATTCTTTCTTTTTGTTATGGTTTTTGCTGTATTTTCACAGCTGTGATTGGCTACTTAGTATTAGAGCTGGTTTCCCTCTTCCTTTTCTATGCTTAGACCCATACACTACTTGGACGAGCAGTTTGTATGGGGCTTTGAGTTGCTGATCAGTCTAGCATTAGTCACTTGGTTTTGGGAAGATTTTTTGAGACAATAGTGCATAGATTTGATGCCTGGGACGTTCTAGAGAAGCTGCCCAAAAATCAAGACAAAATCAGAGATTTGTTTTGAAGGCTGATTGTTTTTTTTGTTTTTTTTTTTGTATCTTCTGAAGGGCTACACAATGGGGGTAGCCCATCCCCCAACCCATAATTAACCCCCCAATCCAGGTGTAGGCAGGATTCTATCCCAAGTCTGCACTACGACCAGCAGGAGACCTTACCAACCAGCTAGTTGGCACCTTGCATTTCAAATTCTGATTGTTGGCTTGGAGTCTTGATTAAGGCTGGGCATAGGGCTTTATAGGTGTTATTTGCAGCCTTATTGAGATTGATCCATACTGGAAAGCCTAGAGGCAGCCACTACAGTCTCTCCCATTCTCTTGGGTTGCACAATTGGTGAAACAATAGCGGTTTGTATTGATTTTGTTTGACAGTGTATGCCCTCAGCTCCAATCAAACTTATGTATATTGACATTTTTTAGTGAATAAATTTAGATCATTATTATTTCATGTGTGTTTAGTATGTTTCTGTGTATTACCCCTTAAATTAGACGTTTATATGACTTTTGCTAGTTAAGAATGTTCTCAGCTGTTTGATAAACTTGGGGAGTTTATCATGTCAAAGATGACACTGATGTACTATCGAGTTGGTGGAGTAGTTTGTCTTAGTTGGCAAGGTTAGACCTAAGGTGCAACTAATGGGTGTTTGTTGAAATATTGATTAGGGACCATTTCCAGTCTTGCTTGGGCCTTGGAGACAAATGGTCAAAATTGGAAAGTTGCACTTAACCCTTGACATGATAATAGTATTTAGCTGAGTGTTGGATTGGGCTGCTTTTGATGTACCAACCAGTGAGATGCTCTAAGGGTTGAATACCTATGTATGTTAAAGCTGTTTGGAATAGTAGAGAAAGAAAAAACAATAATATGATTTGATAACAGTGAAATAGAAGAAAGAAGAAAAGAGTTCTTAGTTAGAAGAGAAGAAGAGATGGGAGAAGCCAATGATGATAAAAAACTATTGGCAGTTTTAGGTTTCCATGATGCCTTGCTGATCATTGAATGATCTTCTTGATAGTAGGTCCCCCACTTGATTCCTCTTTAAAGAAGGGAACCCACGATAACCCTAGCTCATTGGACCAACATAAATCTGACTTTGGTAAAATCAGTGGAAGCCACTTTGGTAATACCTAAAAGCTGAACTCAAATAATAAAGTTAATGGGATAGGGATTAAAATAGGATGCAATCTCTAAAGGCATTCCCTCATTAGTGGGATGATACAATGAAGCGGTAAGCGGAGATGCACCATAAAATTAGGCTATCTGCTTTATTGTAGATGCCTGTTGGATCATCTCATATGATGATAAGACTTAAGAGCATCATAGGCTAGTGGGAAGGGCTTATCCTAAAATGGAAGACTCTCTCATAGTACCTTGGGGTTCTTGATATGACGGGTCAACACTTACCAATTAGAGAGGTTTACTGTAAAATGGCTGCGAACGTTGTCTGATGGAGGCCAAAAAGCAAACTCATAAGATATGAAAGGTTATATGATCCTTAATAGAAAGTGATGGGGTTATGCAACTAAGCCAGTTAGCCTCATGCACTTATGTGATTCTTTACATTCTTAGAGATATGAAAGTATCTCTGCCACCTTAGTTGTCAAGGCGACGCCTAGGCAACAAGGCGCCCTTGGAGGCTTGCCTTGCCTCGCCTAATCGCCAAGCAGTTTTCTATAGCGTGTTATAAAAAACTTTTATATTCTTAATTTTTTGAGGCTCACCTTTTCTTTTCTTATTTTCCTATAATAGGAATAGGGGTTCAGCCCTTATATTTTTTAATTTTCTTTTCTTTCTTCTTTTTCTTCTCATGAATATGTTGGAATATGTTGATTTTCTATACTTTAACACGAATTTTATTCTTTTCTTATGAAAATTATGGATATTTATTAAGGAAATATGATTATAGAACCTAGGGAACTACCCTAGGATACATGTTTTTACTTAAAAAAATCCATTGCCTAGGCGACAAGGTGCCCCCATCACCTAGCCTCGCATTGGCGCCTTGAAAACTATGTCTGTCACTGAGATAGAGGGAAATATTAGAGATGAACAAATGAGGATGGAATGTAGATAAAAACCCTTTCCATGACTGGTTACATGGAATCTTGTTTCTTGATGCACTAAATTTATGTTAGCCAATTCTCTGTATTTCTTCAAAATGTGTACATTGGGTGGTCTATTTGGATGTTATATATCTGTATATACATGTTAGTTTTTTGCTGAATCTCTATTAATGCTAGCATGTTTAATCTTTTGTATTGAGAATGTGCTTTTTGTTTCTGGACAGACCTTAGAAGGCATAAGTGATATTCGTGATGAAAGTGATAGGACTGGAATGCGCATAGTCATAGAGGTATTCTAAATGCTGGTTTTTTATTCTATTTCTTAATTGATTAAATGATGCACATTTAATTGCTGAGATTCCAAAGTTTGGTGAGAAGTTGTGAACTTTTTTTTTGGTTTTGCGTCTCATTGTGATGTTGACTGTACCTGTTGCCATTGATTACCAGCTAAAAAGGGGATCGGATCCAAACATTGTTCTCAACAATCTTTATCGCTTCAGTGCTCTTCAGTCTAGCTTTAGTTGCAACATGGTGGGGTGAGTAGTTTCGGTATTCTATTTGTGATTGGCTTGCCAATTTGTATTTACTAAGTCTTTATGTATTAGAACATGAAGTAATGACTGTCATTGTTATTATGTTAGTATTATTTGGTCGATGAATTTTATAGTAATTTTAAGTGCAGTTTAATGTTGAAGGAGAAAGCATGTTTTTCTAATCTTCACATAAACTTGCTTTTCTTATTTAGTCACTTGTTTTTCTTGTATTTTTATTTTGCAGTTATATTTAATTTACATAATACTCATTGCTAATAACATAAGCTGGTTGCATTATGGTGCATATAGTGAAATTTATGATTGATATGATTCTGACTTTTTATGTGGTTACTGGGCAAAACCTATTCAGGGACCTCACCTAACAGCTTAAGCTTTGATACCATCTCAAGAAACTGTTCAACATAAAACCTTAAGCTGTTAGGTGAGGTTCCTGAATAGGTATTTTATTCTGTAATACGACCCTTAACACAAAAGTCCATTATGCTTGAAGTGTGGACAAGTACAGACCCACCTTTACCTTTTGCTGAAATTTAATAAATTAAAATGGGGGCTGAGGATTGAACAGAAGACCACTTGGGAATTTGATGGAGCAAACTATGCACTTTGGAAATTTCATTTCCAGTTTTTTGTTTAAGGAGAGAGTATGTGGGGTTATTTGGATAGTACTGCAACCATCCCTGATAATATAGATGCTAAGGGGCTGAACTAGTTGAAAGTTTATAATTTTCTATCTTCTTTCTCTTAATAAAAGTTACTGTTATTGATAAAATAAAAGTTGAAAATTAATAATGACCCAGACAGTTTTCTGGATATTAAGTTCGATTACTGTTGATGTAGCTATTCATATGAAGGTTATCAAAATTGCTAAGGAGATGTATGACTACCTATAGAAAGTCTATCAGCAATCAAACATGTCTAGGCAATATCTGATTAAAATGGACATATTCTCATACACTTAGGGGGAGAGAGATCTAGGAATACTATACTGGATTTGTTACTCTATTGACAGTATATAAACTTGTTCATTTTTGAGCTATCACTACCGATTGTAGTGTGAAGACTCAGAACATTTTGATCAGAGGAAATTTATGCATTTTAGACCGGATTATGAGATGACAAGGTCGAGCATACTTGGTGGGGAAAATGTGCATGATCTGGACACTATATTGGGTCAACTTCTAAGGGAGGAGACTAGACTATATACACAGTCCTCTTTTGATAGGAAGAGAGAACAAGGCCTGGACATAGTGTTTCTAGCCACTGAACTGAAAGGGAAGGACTTTTTGAAGATTCAATGTTATGAATGCAAGGAGTTTGGGCATGTGGGCATATTGCAAACAACATGGGCATATTATCATTGAATGCCCTACATGGCCTCCCAAGGAATGCTCAGCACAAGGCAGTCCAGGCAGTTGGAATCTTCACTTGATGGTAATTCTTAACCTACTTCAGCTCAAAAGCGGGAATCTTTTGGCACTTTGACTAGAAAAGATATAACTATTGTACTCTGCTGTATTATATTTTTACTTTTTTTTAATAAAAACTTTTATATTTAGAAAAATTTCATTTTTCTTTTTCATTTTTCTTCCCCTTTCCTTTTTTTTTTCTGTCTTTTTTACCTGAGGTGTGTATGAGGCATACACTCTAGCATGCCTCGTGAAAAAAAGCATATGAGGCATACACCTCAAGGCGTTTTGGGGGCGCCATGCCTGGAGGCGTGTGCCTTAAGGTGTACGCCTCCCACGGCTTTTAAAACACTACATATATATATATATATATTTCGAGTGGAACTGACAGTTTATTCTAATATTTTCATATGCTGCTGGTTAGCATATGGAATACTTTTTTCCTTGTTTAGAGAAGAGTACAATGCCCTGTTCTTCTTTCATTATTAATTAAGCAAAGAGTACAAAGTAATGCAATGACACTTGTATGACTGTGATACAGTGCACCGTGTATACATCGTACTACTCACTCCCAATACATCTGCCAAATGCCAACATTGTTAAATCATATTATAAAACATCTTTGTACTCTGATAAGCAAATTAGCTGACATAGTATGAGTGATGCATATTCAAACAAGTCAATTGGAGTTTTCTGAAGTTTATGTATTTTTGTAGTTTTAGATAATTCAGTCAATTTGTATATTTACTTGTCTTGCTCAATGGGGACTTCTGGCCATGTATTTTGATTTTTCTTGTCATAATTTATTTATGTTTAGAATTGCAAATTCATTAACTGAGCAGTTTTCAATATTTTTAGTCAAATTATGATAGTTGCAATTCCGTAATTTCCTTTGTACCAGTGGGATTGGCCAACCCTATACTATTTAGTACATGTTTTCTGAGTCAAATGACTTGGTAAATGGTATTTCCGTGAATTTTCTAGATATTGTGATTATAGTTTGAGATTCTTATGAATTGTAGAGTGATTCTAGGTGCTGATTGAGTAATTCTCTCTCTCTCTCTCTCTCTCTCTCCCTCCCTCCCTCCTCTCCTATCGTGCAAACAGCCATTTTAGCTATCTATAGCATGCATTCTTCATTAACGGAGTTCTTTCAATGTCCCAAAGGCTAATTCTGGGAAGAGTGCAAATACAAATATGTACAGTGCAAAATTTACTATACAGCATTTCTAAACCTTGTATCAGCACTCTTCCAAACTAAGGTTTAGTTTAATGTAGAGTGCAAAACCTTGTATTTTGTATGTATTTGCACTGTTCATATTTGTATTTGTACTCTTCCCGAACTGAGACTAAGGAATTAAAATTAATATAAGCATATTCTCCAGGTTTACACTAAAACTTGACATTTCTCCTGTTTCATTACTTTCTTCTTTTTGTACCAAAAAACCATCAAATCATCATTCTACCATCTTTGATCTTAAAACTTAGTTTTTGGAACTTTCGCAATTTTCCCATGTGGGTATTTTTATTTCTTTTTTTCAAAAGCTTCTTACAATGCCTTGAATTTAATTCCAACTTACAATCCCCTGGCCTAAACACTTTTGCATGACTCAGAGAGTCAGAATCTGACTAGTGTGTGGGAATTTGACTTGGTGAACCCAAAATTGTAGGATTTGTGGACATGTATTATTATTATTATTATTATTATCATCATCATCATTGTTAAAGAAATACATAGATCTATATAAATATAAAAATTTAATTAGTTAAATTACTTTTGCAATTGACAAGTTAAACATGCAGAGTTTGCTTATTTTTCACGTGAGCCCGTGACCGCTAGTTGTGTCTAATGCTTTTCCTAATTTATATGTTAATTTGACAAGATTAAATAAACAATTGATCTATGTTAAAATTGGAAAAGTAGACATTTTGGAGTGGTCAGTTGAACAATTTAAATGGTTGGACCACTATTAATAGAGGTATTTAAAGTGAAGATTTGTAATTTGGAGAGTCGACTCTGGGTATTACTCAACTTGTGAGTCCCCTCCAAATGGGGGTGGGGGGGGGTCTCCATACAACACTGCCTAAATTTCCACAAATTTTTGTAAAGAGTTCCTTTATGCCTATGTTTAGAATTTGTTATTTTTAGTGTGCTGGGAAGAACCTGCAGTTCTCAAGTATTTGCCCCAAAACCTTTCTAATCCCTACTTACCATTCGTTTAATCCTAGAATTATCTCCAACTCATGGTCCACATTTACCTTTTTGACTCACCAATCGGTCACACTGGTCCTTCATTAATTTTTACTAAAGCATTGGTCCTGCATCAATTTTGTATAAAAGTGGTCTATTTTACATCCTTGTTTGTAATGGTACAGGTTTATAATTGTTGAGATTTGTTTTTTAGGGGTTAGGGCTTAGGTTGCACATGTTTTGTTTCCTTATGACATGGATCTTTACAAAGCATTGTACTATTGAATGAATGCTGTTTGTCTCTTTTAGTTGCATTATCAATTTGCTTGGGTTGTCTTCTAATGTGAGATTTTCCTCTTTGTTCTCTTTAAGATACCGATGTTTCAATGTTACTAGAAGCACTTGTGCATATATCTTCTATCATGTTGTAAGACTCAGTGGATTGGATTGGACTGTCAACTGGTGAACCCATGACCCCTTAAGCTTTTCAGATCCTGGTTATCTGATGGTTTACAGGCAGAATGATCTAACTGGTGGTTAAACCAGTTAAATCAAGATACAAGATTTCTGATATTTCACCAGCTTTGAGTCTGACAACATTGAATTATATCTTTGGTTGTAACATTCAGAACTACAGAATCCAAAATTCACCTTTATTCTTGTAATTGGCTAGAACACTTTCTAAATTTGCATATTTGAATTCTTTGGTGGGAGCTGTTTTGTGTCATATATCAGAAACAAAGACCAGAAAGAAGAAATAAATGAAAGAAAAGGGAGAGAGCAGATCCAAAACAAATTAAGAGATGACTAAAAATGGAGTTGGGCTGGTTCCCTCCTCTATTGATATTTATATTGTGGATTAGTTACAAAATCACTGAATTACCCTCATAAAGGAAAAAATCCTAAATATTCTTAATTTCTTACAAGTAAAGCTACCAACACCCTCATTCTCTCTACAATCTTTACAGGAGGCAATTGGATTTTATGCCCATCTTATTCTTTGTCCCTTGTATCACAGTGCTAATTATTTCTGGAAATGGTAGTAATTTTCCATCATAATACAGTTGTTGATTACTTGGTTTTTGATTGTTTTCTGTTTTTATTTTCTGAAGATTCATGCTGAGTACATTGTTTAATATTTATTGACATTTTATATTAGTTCATGCTTTTTCTCAATTATTAAGATGGTGATTATTATGTCATTTCAATTTTTGTTGGATACCACTGATGTATCATAAATCACCTGTACATTTTTAGATTCCATTGATCTATCAGGCATCACTTGTACATTGTTGTTTCAGTTATTTGTTCTCTTTTCACAGTATTCTTGGTGGACAACCAAAACAAATGGGTTTGAAAGAATTGCTTCAGGTGATATTTCTTCCATGATTTATTTTTTTTGTTGCATCTCTTTTTGCATATTAGAGACTGATGCTTCGGCGTATTAGGTCTTTCTTTTCCTTTGTCCTCCTATTTGGCTCTACTTCTAGGACTTATTTTTTTTTTTTTTTGGTTTTATTACTTTTGAGCATGTGGGGGGTCTAACAAATTCATGGAAGCAAGCTCAGAGAAACATTGTAAAATTACGTAAACTATGAAAATGTTGGAAATCTTTGATATGCCTTTGAAAAAGATGGGAAAAATATCAATATATTCTTACCAATAAATTATGTCAATATATACTTAGGATTTTATATACAACCATAACAACTGTTTAAAATAGGAAATACAAAATACACAAAATTTCAAGGAGATGGATGATTCTATGGGGTTCCTCTGCATGCTTCAAGCTGGAAAACTTTCAAGGAGATGGGTGATGTGCTGGGGGGTTTTGTTGATGTGTTCTTAGATAATATTCTTGGGAGATATCTAGAGGCAGTGCTCTTGGTGATTTGGGCTCGATCTCCGGCGGACCTGTGTAAAACGGTGACAATGGAGGTACATGGAGTGATTATTGCTGTTAGAGTGGTGGTGGAAGGGCAGGTTTGTTAGGGGGCTGCCAACATTTGATCCTTTAAGATGTTGGCTGTGGACATATTGGCCAGTGAATTGGAGTGCAGTAGAAAGCCGGTGGTGGAGGACCTTGCTGAACAGATGGCATATCTAGGAGCAAATGAGAGCAGCAAGGAGGGGTTGGGAAGCAAGAATGAGGCAGGGGCATTGGGGGAGGCAATGTAGAAGGGATCAAAAACATTTTGTGACGTCCACTGGTGAAACAAGGGGGTGGTGTTACTCGTGATGGCGGAGATAGTTTGTTGGTTTTGAACTCTGAGGCTGAGTGGAAATGAGGTTGTGCTGGTCTCGGTGACAAGAGGAGGTAGGCCCCACCTGGGGTCTAACGTCTCAGTGGATTCAAATTTATATACACCAAGAGTTGGTTGGTTTGGTGTGGAGGTCTATGCGGGCGGGGATTGGCAACTTCAGAGGGAAACATGGTGGGAGGTGAGGTGGATCGGGCCTAGATAACTAGTTTTGGACTTTTGGTGGGCCTTGGGCTGGGCTTGATGGAGAAGGAGGCGTGCTGGTGCTTGTGTCCACCATATGGGCCCAGTTAAAAGAGATCACCGCTGTCCGCAGTTCCAGATTAACTGCTAGGATGATAAGCTGGTCAGAGCTGGAGATTTTGGTTCATGGCGTGCATAGGGGGGAGGATGCATCTAAAAAGGTGGGCTCTTGTTTTGAGAGTGGACCACAATGTTCATCAGGGTTGAGTGGGGAACCTGAGTGGTCCAGGATTTGGGGCCCAGCTTTGAGCGAGAAGCCAAAGTCTGCCCTTTGGTGGAGGCTAAGAAGGCTGAGAAGAGATTGGACCACGATGCTAAGGTACCAAAATCGATGAGTCTATTCTTTCTGGGAGGGGGGGAATGATGTGACGAAGGAAATGTTCTGAAATTTGGAGGCGGAGGAAAGACAGTCAGGGCAGGAGGATGATCAGGATTTTGGTTAGGAGGAAGAGGGTGAAGGGAACGTTTTGCTTGACGAGGCGGACTGTTTAGTTAAGGTTGTGGATTTTTACGTTGACTTTCCGTTATGGTTGACAAGGAGTTGAAACTAAGGAACGCTTGTAGAGGAAGAGGAAGACGGTAAATTGTTGTTTAAGGTCTTTGTGCAAGGCTGTTTGTTTCTTTGTAGGGAGAATTCCAATTTCAGCAAATGGGAAAGGACCTCCTTTTTTGTTGTTTGTGGGAGTGTGTTGTGTTTTGTATGGGCCAGATTGCTGGATTAGAGTGGGGTGTGAAGGTTAGGAGTTCTGTTTGTGGTGTGTAGTGTAATAGTGGTTTTTGATCTACTCTTTTCTTAATAAATTTCTTTTATTTTACCTTCAAAAAAACAACACAAACTTGATTTATATCATTTGCACATCTCATATTCATTGCATTCAAACATATTATAGATATTTAATTCATAGTCATGATCATAATCTGATAAATACACCCAAGAAGCAATCATTTGTGCTTATTTGCGGTTCCGTAATATTTTTTTTTTGTTTGTTGATTTTCTCATGTTTCAGAGAGCATTCACCCTTTTCTATGGCAAAGGCTCTTCTTTTTTTCTCTGATCTCTCTTTAGAGATTTAGTTGGCATGCTTTCCTGTTTTGATCCAAATAATGTATGTTTTATGGTTTGATTGTAATTTATCAATTGGAACAATCAAAACTTTATTGAATATGGCAAAAAATTATGAAGTTTGACCTAAACGTCGGGTGGATGTTGTTCAATAAGTGGGAAGCATTTTAGGTGGTATTTATTTGATAGCTTGGAGAATAGATTAGAAAAAGAATGAGATAGCCCAAGGAATCACTGCAATGGAGCCTAGAATCACTCTAGGATGTCAATGGAATCAATCTATAATGCATGCATGCTAGAGAGAACAATATCCAGGCTCTTCTTTTATTTCATCCTATTTATATCTATATTTCCTACACTTCTTTATCTCTCATTTGTAACTTAATCACTCCTTGTCTTGTGTGCTAATGTTGGTTAGAGGATAGCAATAGAAGAAGAGATTTCTACTTTGCATGAGAATGATACATGGGAACTTGTCGTTGGGTGTACACCATATAGTACCTTCCAAATGGTACAATGGAGTGCTTGGGGCCCGTTTAGTTGTAAAAGAGTTTACAAAGACCTATGGTGTTGACTTTTCTGGAACTTTCTCACCTGTAGGTAGGATTGTTTTAGTTTGCATTATTGTTTATTTTGCTGCTATGTTTCATTGGCCCTTGTTCCAGTTAGATATAAAAAATGCTTCCTAGCATGGTGGTTAGTTAAAGCTGAGGGGGTCTATATGGGGTAACCACCTGGGTTTGTTGCTTAGGGGGAGTTTGCTTGGTTTGTTGCATACTAAAGAAAGCGTTATATAGGCTGAAATAGTCACCACATGATTGGTTTAGGAAGTTTATTTTGGCAGTGACTAATTTCGGACCACCAAGGTGTCAAGCAAACTACTCAGTTTTTTGCAGGACCTTTGAGGTTGGAAGCATTATTCTTGTAGTTTATGTTGATAATATTGTGATTACTGGGAGTCATTCATTGGGCATTGGTGATTGAAGCTCTTTTTACAGCAGTTGTTTCATACTATAGATCTAGGAAGGTTAAAGTAGCATCACGATCTAGTACAAAGGTACTTAACATAGGAACTACACCCTTTGATTTACTAGATCAGACAGGCATGTTGGGTTGTATGCCAGTAACCACACCTAGGATTTGAACACTAAACTTATTCCTAATCAGGGGGAGCTTGTAGAAGATCCAGAGAAGTATAGGAGGCTAGTTGAAAAGGTGATTTATTTGACTTCTACATGTATTAATATATTTTTCCATTTTGCAGTGAGTATTGTGAGCCAGTTCATGGAATCACCTACAGTGCTTCACCTTGTTACAGTGTTTAGGATCCTTTTCCTTCTAAATGGATTCCCAAGGTTAGGTGTGATATATAAGTATCTTGGACATTAAATTATATTTGGCGTTTCTGATGCAGATTGGGTAGGTTCGTCTACAGATTGACAATGTACTACTGGGTATTGTATGTTTCTTGGTGGGCAGTTAGTTACCTGTAAGAGTTAGAAGCATGGTGTTATAGTTAAATCTAACGGAGAAGCTAAATACTGTACAATGAGTCATTCAATAGGAGAGTTGATACGGCTATAAAGTCTACTACAGTAGATGGGGATTACAATACCATTGCCTATGCAATTGCATTGTGATAATCAAGCAACTATACACATTCCATTAAACCTAGTGTTTCGTGAATGAACAAATCTTTCCAAGGTGGACTGTTATTTCATTCATGAAAAATTCAAAATGGTGATCTGAAGACTCCATTTGTAAAGTAAGAAAATCAACTTGCTCACTTGTTTACTAAAGCTTTGCATTGACCTTGGATTGACTTTATGATTGTCAAGTTGGATTTATAGAGTATATATACTCCAACTTGAGGTGGAGTGCTATGATTCAAGAGGTGTTCCTAGGTGCATAGATGAGGTGCATATCATGACCTGCACCGTGCCATGGTCGAAGCACAGCCCATTTGGAAAAGGGGTATATTTGTCTATTTGGTTTATTACTTAAGTAGGGTTGTTTTTAGGTTTTGTTTTATAACTATGGGGTATTTATGTAATCTTCTGATGATTTATATCTTAATATAAATTTTTATCTGACTGATCAGTAGGTCCTCTGTTCTCTAAGTGTACAGAGGGGAAACAGGAGAGATTAACTTTCTTAGCTCTCCTAAGTACAGACAATATAAGTACAATACGACTCAAAATAGATGATCCCTTTCCACCCCTTGCTTTGCTAAAGTATCAGCAAATGAATTAGCATTCCTTTTCACCTATCGCACATTGATTTCCATTCCTCGAGACAGCTATTTACTCCTTTCTCATTTATATAACACCACCATCCAACTCCCTCTTCCTTTCTGCAGCCATTTGATAGCTAACTTTGAGTTCCCCTGAATTACTAGCTTCTGGATATTCAGCTCTCCAGCCATGTTAAGACCTTCCAGCACCGCCATTATTTCATCCCTCAAAGAATCTCCAACACCCCAATCGATCCTGAGTAGACAACGATGATTCTTCCTTCCTCATTTCTAAAGATGGCCTCTATACCTGAAGGACCCAGATTTCCTTCACTACTCCCATACAAAATCTGCTTAACAAAACCACATGGCGGAAAGGACCAGGTCTAACCATGGCCTTGCTAGGTGTTGAGTCAGCAACTACCTTCCAATTCCTCACCAAGTCATTTGCATGGACTCCCTCAAAAATATCAAGATACTTCACTCAATGGATCACACTTATTGTAATGACTTAAATTAGGGTGTTAGAGTCAGCTGTAGAAGGGTAGTCTAGTCATTTTACTTTATGTTA